TTTTTCTCTAAAATTACATTTTGTTTTCTTTAAAATCAATCAAATATTATTTTGGGGTATCTCTAAAATGAAATAAATATTAATACTTTTCTTTAAAAATTATTAAATATGATTTTTGTTTTCTCTAAAATGTATTAAATATGATTTTTTCTCTCCCTCTAACTCATCATTGGTTCCCATGTGTATGTAATCCTGTGTATACACGGTGTAATATTAACACATTTTGTTAATGAATAACTTCACTTAGACCATGTTTCATGTTACGGCCATATTCAGAGTGTAAGAGGAAACATGCAGGGGCGTCCCGAGGCCGGGTGTCACCCGGAGCGGAGAAGGGGTGACACCCCGCCGCGATGTCATCGCGCATGCACATGATGTCACCACACGCGTGCGCAATGACATCCTCGGCATTCGTGGTCATCTAATTGACGCCTGCCCTCGGCCATCTTGGTGATGGACACCGGCAGAGAGAAGAGGGGACGTTCACCCGGCGGGATAAGGTATGCCGCCGGGTCCCCTCCTCTCTCCTGACACTGTCGGGCTCTCAGTCCATGACCGAGTGCTTGACTTTTCAGAGTGGGGGGGCCCCAAAATGACTGTCAGTCAATTTGGTGTCACCCCTCCAATGGTACAAACAAAAAGATACCTTGTCGCACTCCTTACCGGAAAAACCCAAAGTTGAATGGGGGGGTGCTTGTAGTGACCTGCGGATTGCGCCGCCACACAGTATAAAGATGAATAAATGTCACCAGCACACCACCAGTATTGCAGTCCAAAGAGTTTGTTTATTGGAATGTCACGTCACCAAAACTAGCGCTTTTGGGGCCACGCAGGGTCCCCTTTATCAGGCTCAGCAATGACGATGCTGTGGCATCCAATGGTTGCACCCGGGTGGAGGCCGCACGCCCCCTTGTGACCCCACTGGAAACATGGTCACATGTCCCAGCCCCCTACCCCCAAACCGTACCCCCACTTACCTGAATCGTGGGGTTCTTCTCTCTGGCTCAGGCTCCTGTTACTTTTTTTTTAAATTTGGTGCAGCTAAGTGTGTCTCCGCCCACATCATCCATTCACATGCATTGAGATTCACCCATTCGTGTGAATTGAGATATTACAACTCCCATCAGCCACCGTGGCAGAGGGACTTGTAGTTCTCAGTGGGGTACAAGTGTGGAGACATCAGCGCACTTGTAGTCCATTGATCCTTCCTCCAGACCCGTAACTGTCTGTCCGTAGCACGTTATGGTCCTAGGGGCAGGGAGGAAGAGTCTGCAGGAACCGGAACATTGCACCCGTGAGCCGCTGATGGTGGTTGCAATGCTCTGCGGACTCAAATGCAAAATCTTAATGAATGCAAATTATTACTTTTATCGTTGGATTTCCATTTATAACATTTTTGGAAAAGCGGGACTGTGCCTTTAAATTCAGGGATCCTCATTGGACAGATCTCATGGGACAGCGGAATGTTTCATATTCATTTCTGGTGATTCTTCATTGTTGCGTATTGATTGAATTCACAAGGACTGGCTCCGCCCCCGTGATATCTCATCACCGCACGCAGGCAATTCTGGCCAAAGTCTGAGCATAGCCGAGCCCTAACAACCACCCGGATACTCGGCCGTTGTCAGGAAACAGTGCAAGCTGTAGAACACCAATATTTATCTATTTATAACTCATTCACATAACGTTCACCCAAGATTCACACCTTTTTTCTGTTAGGATTCATTTGGGAAAATGTGTAAATCCTCGCTTAAACTTGTGTGAATCTTTATTTTTATAAATAGGCCGCTAAGTGCAGCAACCCAGAGTAACAATATATTTATCTCCAGACAGGGGACAGAGGTGAGCGCCCCTCATAATGGGCACAGCGGATGTACAGACCCGGGAACTCAGCACAGGGATGGCGGGAGCTCCTCATAATGGGCACAGCGGATGTACAGACCCGGGAACTCAGCACAGGGATGGTGGGAGCCCCTCATAATGGGCACAGCGGGTGTACAGACCCGGGAACTCAGCACAGGGATGGTGGGAGCCCCTCATAATGGGCACAGCGGGTGTACAGACCCGGGAACTCAGCACAGGGATGGTGGGAGCTCCTCATAATGGGCACAGCGGGTGTACAGACCCGGGAACTCAGCACAGGGATGGTGGGAGCTCCTCATAATGGGCACAGCGGGTGTACAGATCCAGGAACTCACCACAGGATGGTGGGGGCCCCTCATAATGGGCACAGCGGATGTACAGACCCGGGAACTCAGCACAGGGATGGTGGGAGCCCCTCATAATGGGCACAGCGGGTGTACAGACCCGGGAACTCTGCACAGGGATGGTGGGAGCTCCTCATAATGGGCACAGCGGGTGTACAGACCCGGGGACTCAGCACAGGGATGGTGGTATTGGGAGCCTCTCATAATGGGCACAGCAGGTGTACAGACCCGGGAACTCAGCACAGGGATGGTGGGAGCCCCTCATAATGGGCACGGCAGGTGTACAGACCCGGGAATTCAGCTCAGGGATGGTGGGAGCCCCTCATGATAGGCAGAGCAGGTGTACAGACCCCAGAACTCACCAAAAGAGTCCCTGAGACATGGAAGAGACTGTCAGGGGGGTTTATTCTCCACCATACATTGAACAGTCCCTATAACTCAGCCGTGGATCATTGTTGTCAATCACAACCACAAGAAGTTCCGTGCCGGAACACAAAATCTATTCTGACCAGATACGTCTGGAATAACTGGTGGAGTCCCGGTCTGTGTGTGCGGGAAACCCCATATATTCCTGCCCATCGAGTATATCAGGTAATATTGGGTGAATCATCCTGCTGTGAATACCCTGAAGGTGAATGATGTCACAGCGTGTTATCACTACTGGCCGTGTAGATGATACAAAGTCACCGTACGATAAGATAACATTTCATAAGATGCAATTATCTCTCATACTATTATGTAACACACGATGATCTGAGTCACAACAAGAGGTTATCTGTGGATCTTCCATTAGAGTGTATGTAACCCCCAACAATGGACTCCTCTTATTCTTTGCATTTCGGAGCGGTCAATGTATTATGTATCGGTGTTTTCTCAAAGTGATATTAAAGTCATTTCATTGTCTTTATCTTTTTTTCCAAACATTTCTTTACATTGTTGGCCGAGCCCTGACAGTCGTCATGTTCCTGAACAGCTCCAACTCTCCCAGCTCTTCTTCCCTGAACTTCCTGCCCAGTACAAGATCACAAGGGGCAGAGCAGACTCCAGCAACTGTCCATCTATTAGCTTGGAGAAGGGAGCAGGGGAATGTCTTGCCTAACTGTGCCTGTGTATTTGTGGAAACACACACACACAGCTTACTAGCACACACAAGGGCAGCCGCAACTCCATAGGACCCTGCAAGGGAAAGGATATCAGGACCAGTGCTCAGGGGATCAGCTGATTCTGCAGGAAAGTGGAAACTAAAACATTTAAACTAGGGATGCACCGATACTAGTATCAGTATCGGTGCCGATACCGAGTATTTGGGTGAGTACTCGCCCAAATGCTCCGATGCCTAGCCCAATACTTCCTGTATCAGGAAGCCAGGCAGCTCATCATTACACGCTGCCCGGCTTCCTGATTGGCTGGGAAGTTGGCTCCATGCTCCCTCGTCACTTGTGACGAGAGAGCATGGAGCCGGCTTCC